GGGAGTTTTCTCTGTGGTCCAGGCTAGCCTCACACTTAGGGCCCCCCTGCCTTAGCCGCAGACTGCTGGCTCTGCAGCCTGTGCCCCTGTTCTGGCCCACTTCCTTCTCCATCCCGCCTTAGGAGGCTCCTCTTTGTAGCGGCTCCCCTTGTGCAGGCCTTGCTCTCGCCCTCCGCATCACCACCCAGTTACTTCTGTAGACGACTGTGTAGCAATACATTCACGTGCAGGACAAACACACACGGCCACAGCAAATTCCATAATGCTCCAAATCACTGCAGTCCAGCACTGGTGAGACACTAAGGTAAAACAAGCCAGGAATTCCAGAGATATCAGCGGGCACTTGGGACTCTTCTAGGCACTGGGCTGCAGACTTGCAGCAGATAAGCAATGTCCCTGGTATCGTGGAATTTCGGTTTGTACGTAAAGACAAATAATAAAGAAAGAAATCAGTGCGCACTAACATAGGATATGCAGAAGACCAACTGCTGAGGACGCTGTAGCCCTCACTTCTTCTTACTCTGGCCAACAACGGCACAGCCTCTCTGAGAGGGTGGCACTGAGGATCCAGCTCCCTGGCATGGCAGGCCTGAGGAGGCTCAGCTCCTCCGGAGGCAGCAGGCCCAAGGAAGCAGCACGGGGACACAAGCACCCTGGGGCCATCCCAGGAGCCACACCGGGGCCTAAGGGGAGTCCCCAAGCTCTCTAAGCCTCTGGGCCCTGGCCGGCCTAGCACACTGCTTCCCTGCTCTTTCCCAGGGAATTTTCTGCCCTGAAGCCACTCCAAGCTCTTCCTCCTCAGGCCCAGTTTAGGATGTTTCAGCTGCAGGGCCCCAAATAAGAGGCCTTCCCCGGGCCCTCTGCTATCAGGACCGCTTGGGACTCGGAGAAATAGAACCCCAGGGAGCAGCCCTACTCTTCAGTCCCCCACTTTCTCCTTCGAGTCAGCTCTGCTCCACGGTAAATGTAACAAATGTGCTGGCCCAATCCAAGCCGTCACAATCAAAGAATAACTACTACAAAGGCAACAATATGAAATTTATTAATTATTGTAACTGTCCTACTAACCTGTTTTGAAACTGTCTCATTGCTATTCCTTTCTCAAATAAAATTAATTTATAAGAAGAAAGAAAGGCAGATGAGGGAAAATGAGAAATCTCTCTCTGCCCATCTCTGTGTCTGTGTCTGCATCTGCCCCCCTCCTCTCCCCCCTCCCAGTCTCTCTCCCACCCCCTCTCCTTCCCCCCTCCCTCTCCTACTCCTATTCCCTCTCCCTCTTCCTCTCCCATTCCCTCTCTCTCCCACTCCCACTCCCCCGGAAACAGCCCCCCCCAGCGCCGCCGCCGCCACCGCCGCCGCCAAGAGGAGGCCGGCGCAGCGCAGCTGACACCGACACAAGGCTCTCGCGTCCGACGGCCTTGGCCTGCAGACCCAGCGCAATGAACTGCGCGCGAAGGGCTAGCGGGCCAGCGAGTGGACGCCGAGCGCAGCTCAGGCCAAGCACCAGTACGCCCTAGGGTGCACGACCACCCACTGTCTGGGAAGCCAACCCCCCACTCCCGCGCATGCCCTACCCCCTGGACGCCCTTCTGTCAGCAGAGAACACCGCTCAAAAGCACACACACACTCTCCCGGCCGCAGATATACAACATGGCAGATTCGCTGTCAGGCCCAGTGAGATGTAGCGACTCAAGGTAAGCATATTCATAGGGCAGCCCCCTTCTTCCCTTCCCCACAAATTGTCCTCTGGAATGTGCAGGGACCACCATCAGGCTTGTGGACAAGGCCCAAGTCGATAGAACAGGCATAAATCAATGACTGTCCGTACAGATGAACAAAGCAGTTTGGTATTTTGTCTCTACTGTGGAAATATCCACATCTTCATACTTGTGCGTAACTGCAGTGGCCTTAGTTTGGCACTTTTGGGGCAGTACCAGCAGAACACCAGGTGGAAGAAAACAGAATGAACACATTCCTGAAACTCCTTCCTGCTGTTGGAAAATACTCAAACCAGGGAGCCAGTCCTCAAAGTTCCTCTCCCTAAAACCTTTGTGAAACAACACAAGGCATAAATTTAAAGCCAAAGAGTTCTCATCACTGAGCTAGTCATGAATAGAAAAGAAAAAATACTGGACAAACTTGGAGTCATGGAGTCATAAAACAAGCATAAGTGGAACTATTGGAAAAAATAGCCCCCCTGCAAGGTTCCAGGAAAGAACCCCACTCCTACTCCAGCCAGGTCACAATGGCTGGAGCTCTGAGGGGTTCAGGCACCCTGAACCAGGAGAAGAGAAAGTCCAAGGGAAGATGGTGAGTATAGGGACAAGGGAGCATAGCAAGCACAACACTCCATCCTTCTCATTGCCCATTGTTGCTCTTCTCTTCCTCCTCTGAAACTTCCTAGTGGTCCCAGAGACACCCACAAATGGAGTTTATGAATGTCCCTGGAGCCTGTGACATCACACTTATACACAGCATCTGAAGCTCTTATCCTTCTTCAAACCAACAGAACAACCTTGTCTTCTTTTTTTTTTCTTCCCAGGAACAAACTAGAAAAACATCATGTTCCAGGACCATTCACTCCCTGCTTCCTACTTTATCTTTTTTTTTTTTTTGGGGGGGGGTTGCGGGTGGAACTGGGGATTGAACACAGGCCCTTGCACTTGCTAGGCAAGCACTTATTCTACTGCACTATCTCCCCAGCCCCCCTGCTTCCTACTTTAGATACACAAGGCAGAGCCAGGGAGATAGCTCAGAAGCATAAGCCTGCCTGGCAAGCTCAAGGTCCTGAGTTCAATCCTCTGTACTAAAAAAAAAAAGGATACACAAGGCCCACACTGTAATTCATTCATCTTTCACCCCCTTTCTATCTCCAATGAGTTCTACTGTCCCACAAGATCGCAGATAGCCTAGCATTCACCTTGCCTTAATTCTTGTTGACTGTGGCTGCCCTCATGACCAAGCTCCTTTTTTTTCCTAACAGGCTGGCAGTCACCCCTACTTCAATCTACCTGACTTCACCCAGCCATCACCGCCCTCCACTCCACCTAGCCTCTCCTCAAACCAGCGCTGCTGGCCCTCCGATGCTACCAAGGGTCTGCTGGTGGCCCTGCTGGGTGGAGGCCTGCCAGCTGGCTTTGTAGGCCCCTTCTCCCGTATGGCTTACCAGACGTCGCACTTGCCCTCACTGGAGCTGCTTATGTGTCGATGCCTCTTGCATCTTCCTATTGCTGTGTTACTTAAGCTGCGTGGTGACCCATTGCTTGGACCTCCTGATGTCCGAGGCCGTGCCTGCCTTCACGCCCTGCTCAACGTTCTCAGCATTGGATGTGCCTACAGTGCAGTTCAATTGGTGCCCATTGGCAATGCTGCCACCATTCGAAAAGGTTCTTCCACCGTGTGCTCTGCCCTCCTTGCCCTCTGCCTCAAAAGTCAGGGTCTCAGTGGCTATGACTGGTGTGGCTTGTTGGGTAGCACACTGGGACTGATCATCATTGTGGGACCTGGACTAGGGACATTGCAGGAGGGCACTGCTGGTCTCTACACTGCTCTGGGCTATGTGTTGGCCTTCCTGGGAGGCCTGGCCTTATCACTGGGACTTCTGGTCTACCGCTCCCTGCATTTTCCCTCCTGCCTACCAACAGTGGCCTTTCTATTTGGCATGGTGGGACTAATGGCCTCTGTACCAGGACTCTTTGTGTTGCAAACTCCTGTACTACCCAAGGACCCTCTGAGTTGGAGCTGTGTGGCAGGAGTGGGGATCCTTGCCTTAGTCTCCTTTGTGTGTGTGAGCTATGCAGTCACCAAGGCCCACCCTGCCCTAGTCTGTGCTGTCCTTCACTCTGAGGTAGTGGTGGCCCTGATGCTGCAATATTATGTGCTCTATGAGACTGTGGCACCTTCTGACATCATGGGGGCAGGGGTTGTGTTGGGCAGCATAGCGATCATTACTGCTCAGAACCTCAGCTGTGAGAGGGAAAGGCAAACAGAAGAGTGTGACCCAACTTGAGAGTCTGGGGTTAGGGGTTGGAGGGTGGGCAGGGGTAAATAGAGTCTGGAATATAAACATGGGAGAAACAGCACCTGGAAAAGAACTGGTGTGAGAGAGGGGCACCCCTTGGACTCAAGGGTAACTTGGTGTTGATGGAGTGGGACAACTGGAAAACCTCAAACAAGTCTGAGGACTAAGGAATTGGTCTAAACTAGGTCCTGGGAATCAGGGCATAACCAGGGGGTAAGGTCTCAGATCCAAGGGGCTGAGGTGGGCCGACCATGGGCTAAGGGGACAATTTCCTTTTGCAGCAGAGAAAAGAGCACCAGGGCTGGAGTGTACTGGCTGGCAGTGGGCAACTGCACTGGGAGAGGGGAGTGTACCATGCCGCTTCTCCTAGATTAAGGTTTCCCTTGTGGTTGTGCCCCTACCCCTTGGGATGGTGACGTGACACTGACATCAAACAAGAAACACTTTTAATGTGGTTGTGCAGTTGGTGTCATCTCTACTTTGGAGAGTGGAATTCCAAAGCACTCCTTTTATTGGACAATTCCTTGAGGGGTCCCCCCATTTTATTTCTGACATACTCTACAAGAAGGATTTCCTAATGTTTAGATTCTTTTGACCCCAATTCCCCAGGACTTTCCTGTCCTGCCCCATGGCTAATCAGCTTTTCCCGGATTGTCGCGGTCCCGTGATCTCTCTCGGACAGTAGCCAGTCTCCTTTTGGAGCAGGCCTCTGACCTGAAGCTTTTTTGAGTGGCTCACAGTGGCGATCCGGAACTAAGATTCGGTAGAGCATGTCACTAGAGGTCAGACGATGTCCATCCATCCCTAAAGGCCAAATATCGGTGGTACCCGGACGAACGATTAGGCTAGCCATCTTGATCTGCTCATGCATATTCGACCGAGATTACATATTCATAACCAAGGACAGGCCCACTTCGCGCCTCACCCCCACCCCCCTTGAGTGAACCCGAACGGCCCCGCCTCCGTTACTGATTCGCAGAACAAACCATTTTCCAGCCGAGGGGAGGTAACATTAGTGAGAGACTTTTGCCGAAGATGAAACCATACTCCCATGCAGAATAAAAGCGGCCTAACTTTATCCTAGGTCCTTTAAACCTTCAACTTCAAGACAAGACAGAGCAGTGAAAAGAAGCGGTGGATATAGAAAAAGTTCCCTTCCCCTGTAATTGCACACAGGTCGCCTGACCAGAGAGCCGAGGGAGGAGCGATCAACGACTCCAGCGCGTGCCCCGTGCGGGTTTACGCAGGAGGGCCCCTAGCGCAAGGGAGGGCGGGAAAGGAAGGGGCGGAGATACAGGGGCGAATCTATAAAAGGTGTCGTTCAGCCAGTTCGCTCCTCAGAAGCGCCGAGAGCGCGACCGGGACGGGTGGAGAAGAAGGCGGCTCCCGGAAGGGGGAGAGACAAACTGCCGACCTCTGCCGTTCAGGAACCCGGTTATTTATTTATTCGTTACCCTTTTTCTTCTCCCTTTCCCTAAACCTTTTCCTTCCTCCCCCTCTTTTTGTTTCTTTTTGGGAGCCGAAAAAAAAAAACTCTGGAACGGGAGTGAAGGGTTCCTTTCGCTCCTTTTCGTTTCCCCGCCTCCTTCCCTCCCACCTTTCCTTCCTCTGGGTCTTTCCTCCCAACCCGGGAAGGTCCTTCCCGGTGGCCGCCCGAACGGGATCTGAGCGCCTAGGCGGAGGCGGCGCAGGCTTTTTGTAGCGAGGTTTGCGCCTGCGCAGCGCGACAGCCTCCGCCATGCACGGGGGTGGCCCCCCCTCCGGGGACAGCGCATGCCCGCTGCGCACCATCAAGAGAGTGCAGTTCGGAGTCCTGAGTCCGGATGAGCTGGTAAGCTGCTCAGCCTGGTCCCGCCTTGTCCCTCCCTCCCGCATCGACAGGCGGGGCCAGAGGGGGCTTCGGAAACTTGGCGCTTTTCTTTGCCTGCTCCGGGAGGATTCGTTAGCAGTGCCCAGGCCTTGTGGAGCTTTGGGGCTCCTGGAGTTAAATTCGGCGAGGATTTTAAGTTTAGCACTGTGTCCGAGATGGGGGCCACGCTGAGAAGGGTGACCGGTTCCTTACTTTACCGAATACAACGAGACCAAGATGAATTCTAAAGCTGGGCGTGGAAGTTCTCGCCTTTGATCCCAGCACTAGAGAGGCAGAGGATCTCTGTGAGTTGGAGGCCAGTCTACAGAGTTCAAGACTAGATTGAAGTATATAGTGAGACCGTGTCTTAAAAGTTCTGAGGAATCTTTGAAAGTCAGAATAGGAAGCCGACCCCTGGGTTTTCCTCGCCCCTTCAAGTTTTGAGGCTCTACTTTGTGACACATAATAGAACGTGGGGATACAGCTGAACAATTTGGACAGTGTCTCACCTTTTAGAGCACTTTTTGTGGGAAGGGGCGATTAGAAACACATGAACAAATTAACAGGATAGTTCAGTAAAACGGAGTAGTGCTGTGGAAAGTCACTAAGTAAGGCTAATTTAGACGTAGACGGGAGGGTGTCAGGGTCTGAGAAGTCCTGTTTGAGGAGGTGATGTTGCCCTAACGAGAAGTAGCTAGTCATTTACAATGGCTGAGCAAGCAACAAATTTAAGAATCATGGAGAAATCAACTTGGTGTGCTTAGAATCAGAAAGGTCAGTATGTTAGGGAATCAGTGGCTGAGAACGGAGGTGTTACAGAAATAGGCTGGAGAAACATGGGACACTAGAAATTAAGGTACGCAGTCAGCATTAATCCCAGGGCTTTATTAATCACAGTGCTTAATTCTTAAACCACTAGACAGAGTGATGAAAATTTACATTACAAAATACATGTGCACTGCTATGGTTGCTCTGTGAAGAGCTATTCAGGTGGGGTGAGGATGGAAGCAAGAGAAACCAAGGGAGGAAGGGGGATGTTAGGGATGAGCCCTTGGTGAGTGGGAGCAGTCTTCCCTTGTGGAGCTAACAGGAGCCAGTTGGCTAGAAAGAGTGCAGATAAATGCTTATGTTTGTGGGAGAAAAGTTTTGTTAAGCCATAGCTATTTCAGGACTCGGATCAAAGACTTGAGGAGAGGTGACTAATACCAGAGAGCCCTTAATGGTAATGAATTAAATAAAGATACATTTTGTGGTGAGGCTAAAGTGAGCTAAGAATTATACCTACAAGGAAAAGCAAGGCAGATTTTGTTACATAAAAATTAAACTTCTGTTTATGAGAGACACCGTAGACAAAGCTAAAAAAAAGTAAAGTATTGGTGACATGATGCACAAGGTTAGATCTATTAACAAATCTTACAAGGAACACTTCTACATCTACTAGAAAGATGTATAAATGTGGGTAAAGGAAATGAGACAGCTCACAGTAGTAGAAGTGGTCAATTAAAAACATTTGGTGGGGTGCAGGGATTATATGCCTGTTACCCCAGCTACTCAGAAGGCTGAGGTAGAAGGATCGCAAATTCAAGGCCAAAAAACCCCAAAAACATTCAAGGCCAGCCTGGGGGGATTACTGTGAGAGAGGTGGAGATGATCATAGGTGGTTGGATTTCAGACATCTTGAAAGGTAGAACAGACTGGCAGATGGATTAAGTGGAAATTTTAAGGAAGACCAGCACCCAAAACTAGCTTTTTGGACTGAGCAGTTGGATAAATGGAGATGCTATGTATTGAAGCAGGCATGATGGGAGGGAGCATGTTATTATTATTTTTTTATTTTTCTTTATTTTGAGATAAGGTTTTGTTCTGTATGTAATTTAGGCTGGCTTGAATTCTTTGTAGTCCAGGCTGGCCTTGTTCACTGAATGACCTGCACCAGCCTCCTGAGTGCTGAAACTAGGCACACACCACCACTCTCAGCTAAACCACCAAAGTTTATTAATAGGAATCTTCATTTAGGAGACTGAAGCAGGAGGATTGCTGTGAATTGAGGCCACCCTTGGCTACAAAGTGAGTTCAAGCCCAGCTGAACTGTATAGTAAAACAAACCTTGTCTCAGAAAAAGAACAAAACAAACCTATTGAGTAACTTAGGACCTGTCCTAATAACAAGACTGTTTCAATAGGTTAAATCCATTTTTTTTCCAAGACGTTTCAATACTCCTAAACCATATGCGAGAACTCAGGAGCAAAGACATGTTTTAAGTGCCCTCTGAACTATTTCACTTCAAATGATTCTATTTCAGCATTAGATGGCGCTAAATCCCTTTGAATGGCCTCATAGCTTTGTGCTGCTGGACTCTTAGCTGTTGCTAAGAATGGGCACAAGTCAGTTGGAACCAGAAATCTGATTCTGAGGGTTGGGAAGGTATGTAGTGCCTGATTTATGTCATAGGAAAGAAACTGAGGGGGTTGGGGAGATGGCTCAGTAGAATAAGTGCTTCCCTGGCAAGCGCAAGGGCCTGAGTTCAATTCCCAGTTTTGCAAAAAAAAAAAAAAGAAAGAAAAAAAATTGAGATCATTTGGGAAATAAAAACATTTTTAATAAAATTTTTTTAGCATGTATATTTTCTATATTACTAGTTAGTTGCTAAGACATAACCAGAAAGGTTGAAACAGTCTTCACACAACTTTACAGTGGTCATCTCTTTTTGGGGGGAATATACAGGTCATCTCTAGAGCATGCAATTATGGAAGATTTGCTGTATGGTTTGCTGTTTATAGTGTGACTTTTTCGGGGAATAACAAATGATTTCACTTAGGGTGGGAGGGTGGATGAAATGGGACTCTTGTGGAACAGGAAATACTTAATTTTAGAATGTTCTCCAGAAGGCTTGGGTTGGGGATTGTGTGTTGAAGTACAGAGGGCTATTTGAATTGGTTTTAGGATAGAGCTGTTTGTCATTTCTAAGAAAGGTTTGAATGTTTCCTAGGTGGGGAAGAAAGCAAAAAGAATTGATGCTGACTTCTTTTGTTTGTGCTAGAGATTAAACCTAGCATCTTGTATATGCTAGCCACACACTGTGCCACTCAGCTTTATTTTGTTGGTGTTTGTTTGTTTTTCCCTACTCAGCTTTAGCCCAAGTTGATAATCTAATTTTTTAGGTAGAATGTGGAGTATGTTGAAGAAACAAATTGTCCTGGTCTTCAGATTCTGTATAATTTAACCAGAGATTTTATTATATTGGTGGGGGGGGTAAGAGAAGGTCTAACTTTGTAGGTCTTGCTGGCTTTGATGAGCTCACCATGAAGCCTAGGCCAACCTCAAACTCAAGACAGTCCTTCTGTCTCAGTCCCTCAGTTGTTGGGATTACAGGTGTGTGGCATCACACCTGGCTAATAAGGGATTTTCTATCTGCAGTAGTTACTGAGCCCCTACCATGTGCTGGTGACTGCTACACCCTGAGGATTTAAAGATAAATAAAACATGATCCTTGCCCTCATCGATTTCAGTGCAGTGGGAGTGACAATATGTAAACAAGTGAAGTTATCCTCAGAACTTTTCTGAAGTGTGGGCAAAGTAGACATAGGGCTATTTCAGAG